AATTAGGGAGGATTCCAAACTTGCATCAAGCAAGTGATCAGAGAATATGGTGTGAAGGAACCAACACTTTCCAGATATAAGGCACTAATACAAAGGTTGCTAGATGACTTCAAGGAGGATACAATAGAACATGCTTCATGAAATGGGAATAGGTTCGCACATGCACTAGCCACATTATCGTCAAAATTAAACATGATGGAGGAAAGGCAAACATCCAGGTGAAAAGGTGACCATTCCAAGTTCAATCATATAAAAATTCCCGAACACATACCTTAAAAATTGGTTGAGCCTTATAATGGACCAGTTGAAGATAAGAACTGGGTAACTCCTGATGAAAAATTTGAAACAATTTGTCACAATAAGTGACATCCTCCATTATTGTGCTCACCAAGTCAAATAGCTAATCAATGTCAAGCTCCCGTGAGGACCTGTTCTGGCAAGTATAGACTACTACAACAAGAAGTTCCAGGGCCAAGGATTGGCTATCTACCATGGGCTGACAGATGACAAAGTATTAAGGGTAAATGCTGCATTAGATTGGTAACGAAGGAACTTTTGAGTCTCCTCTTGGAGACATAAGAAGAGTACTTATAGGGCAAGATAAAGCAAGGGGAGGCTAGGGTTGCAATATCAGTAGAGACACCAAAAAGGTCCACGACACAAGATGTAACTGAGGGAGGGGTTGAAAAGGATGTTGAGGGAGGCGATAATGAGGGAGTTATGCTTGGAGATAGAAAGCTTTTGAATAATTAACCAACAAAAATACTATGTAAAAGTAGAACATCACCGGGTGTACAACAATGAAAGGGAAAGTCCACCTCAGGGACTTCTAAATTTAGGGGGGAAGGGTTTACCTAACTGAGATTCTCGACCCTTAGGGTAGATGGGATCAAACAGGTCATTGGGGATAGGCTTATTAAAAGTATCCCCTCAATCAAAAGAGGAAACAGGTTCCAGACTTCCTTCTCCACCAACACCAACATCACTAGATTGCCCCAAGGTACTAACATCCACCATGGGAGCACTCACGAGAACATCTAAAGATAGGCCTTCGACATTGGCCTTAGGCTGACATATATCGCCACCATCTCTAGTCTTAGAATGATGGTTCAAATCAAGTCCAGGGTTCGTTAGAGGGGAAGGATCATTGGTAAGTGGATGGGTTAAGGTTGCCAATGCTGGACTCCTTGGTAGCAATCTCTAACCACTACTTTGCCTTCATTGCCTGTTTTACTAAAAGCTACCTTCCTTTTTTTTTCAACGGATGGAGGGGTCGGCACAGTAGCCTATAATCCCTATCATGGCGCAACAATTTGGCTTCGACCAATAAGTTCCTTCTTCTTTTTTAGAGTGCCCTCTGAGTTACACCACAAGCATGTACTGTTATTTGGTTGCCAACAAGTTATGGCTCCCTAGCAATGGTGTCGTCATCATTCCTCCTTCACTTCAAGCAAGCTAGTTCACGGTGGATAACAGAGTCTTTTGGGCCACCGCGGTTTCTTCATTGTTGGGTTTCCCTGAGGGTGAGCCCTAAGAGCACCCACGAATATGGAAGATCATGATATTTATTGCTTGAGGGGACATAGAGTTGGTAAGAAGGCTCACATTGAGAGGAGAGGTCTAAATGAGTTTGCCCTAGAGAATCATCCACTTCGTAAAGGGAGTCCCACAGCATGAGGGTCCCTTGAGAGTTGAAGAGAGGAACGATCCTTGTGTGTAAGTTGAGGAGTCCGCCGTGACGAAGTCTAAGAAGGATGTTTTAAGGGAACCTAAGTTGTAGAGCCATCCATCATCCTTCCTTCGATGGTGGTGGTGGGTCTAGTATTTAGGACCCATTTGCGAAAGACTGTAACATTTGCCATTGACCCCCCTTTGCATCCTACAATTGCGAGGCCCTCTAAGTTTGTTTTGTCTTTGGTGAAGCTAGTCCCGATTCTACATTTGATCTATCTTTCCATCGTTTTGAGGAAATTAAGTGGAAGCAAATATTTTGTAGTATTTAGTGTGTGCTTTTTCCTCTCTATTGTTCTTACCATTTGCCTCTTCCTCTTTTCCTTTTTAGGACTTTCTTGTGAGAGAGATTGTTTCTCGTATGACTATTTCCATAAAGGTTAAGGAAACTGTTATCAGTCTTAGGACGACTACGGTTCTCCCGTCGAAATAAAATTTAAAATCCTAGCTATCATTTATATATACTAGCAATATACCATGTGTGTTGCACGTGAATAATTTTCGTATATAAAATATTAATATTATGTATATGTAGTTTATCCGATTTTAGAGAGGTGTTTGAGAGAGCGAGAGAGCGAGAGAGTGAGGGAGGGAGAGAGAAGATAAAAGGTTTTTAGACTAGTTGATGAGAGAGAAGCCAAAAGGTTTTCCAACTGGTTTGTATGGTGATCTTAGGATTTTAGTCCTGTTTTCTGAGAGATAGAAAACTTGTTCAAAAATAAGGTTAAACAAAAGAAGATTAAGAGACATATATGACATTGTTGTTTACTTAGTTTTCCTAATGACAAACAATTATTTAGTTGAGGATAGGAAAAAGTGGGAAAGTATATTACTTTGTTATAAATACTGTTATAAATCATAGTTAATACACAGGGGAAGAATCATGACCCTTTATCTACTTAATTTTATTAATTGTGAATAATACTTAATATTAATGTACATATTATTCTAATTTTTTTTTATCTATTTTGTATTTATAATTGTGAGTTATAGTTATCTTATTCTATAGTTCTTCATTGAAATCTATGGTTTTTGGTCCTTAAAATATTCAATTCTTGTTTAAATAATCCCTAATCAAACAGTCCATTAAGTTTTGTAACGGAAGTTACTACGTGTCACTCCGTCAAACAGCATCACGTGACTAGCATGTGATCACTTTTGAGGTGATCTGTGTATGGATCATTTAAATATTAACTAAATATTTTAAGCATAAAATTTACAAAATTAATATAAAGAAGACCAAACTTTCAAAGCATGCATATTTCAAGGACTAAAAATGTTATTAACCCTAAATTATAATATATTACTCTATAATATATATTTTAAAAGAATATTAAAATTCTAAAATTTAAGTTTTACTTAAAAATACACTATACTTAATAAAACACAAAAATGTTACATTGATAGAAGAATTATGTTGACTTAAAATAAATTATTTTTAAAAAATACATAAAAGATTATTTTTATCTTAAAAATAAAATTGTTAAAATTTTGAATTAAAAAAATAAACATATGTAAGTATAATGTTATCTTTAAAATTGAAATTAATAATATTATATTGATGAAAATTTTGAATATTTTTTGAAAGTTTTATTGAAAATTATAATGATGCATATATTTTTTAAAGGTAATGTAGTCCATTAAAAAGTTTCATAAAAATTGATATTTATACATAGTAAATAAATAATTAAAAGATATGTTAGAAATAATTTGGAGATTTAAACTCATAAATATATGATGATAATTTAGATTTCAACTATGGAAAAATAGTGTGATATTTAAAATTCTTTAATAGTGAATTAAAAAAAATTTCATGCCAAGGCAAAAGTTTCATTCTTTATTAGTAATATAGATGGAAAAAAAAAAAAACACACACACACACACACACATATATATATAATGTTATCATATTTGAAAGAGTAATGAAATATTGATGGAGTTTTTGAACACTTTATTGAAAATTATAATGATGCATATATTTTTTTGAGAATAATGAAGTTAATTAAAAATTTTCATAGATATTGATATTTATACAAAGATAATAAAGAATTAAAAGATATGTTAGAGGATAATTTAAAGATTTAAATACAGAAGGATGTAATTGTAATTTTGATATTTGAGTATGGAAAGATAGTATAATATTTAAAAAAATTTATAAGGGTAAAATAGTGAATCAAAATTTTTTTACTTAAAGATATTTTTATTAGTAATATAGATTTATAGTACATGGTGGATCCATATTGCGTATAGTGAAAATCGTACTAACAAATCTACTAAATAGATCTACTGAATTAAGTTAACATAATCCTAAACTATAAATATATAGAGATTAAACCCATAAATGCATATTCATTCGCAATGAATTATCTTAAAAAACGCCCACATGCAAACTTAGCCGGAAAATAATAGATCTTAGCTATAGATCTTGTGTTGGTTTATTTATTATTGTTAATAATAAAGAAAATATAATAAATCCTTAAGTGTCTTGCTTTGATTGATGAAAAATAAGCAATATGGTTCTAAAAAAAATAATTTTGGTCTTGTAGTTGAGAAAAAGAGTATATCGACATTTACAACTTTCAAAATTAAATAATAATATTTTGAGATATAAATTACAATCATTAAAAATATTACAACTGCTTATGAAAATTAAAATTTTTCAATGAAAGGTTATAATTAATTAAGAAATTTTCATGATCGATCACAATATTTCATGATCGGTGATAAATTACCTCAAACAATTGTAATTTTACCTTTCAAATGTATGATTAAATGGGTCTTTGGTCTAATAGTATTTCTTATCTTATGAAGATTTTATCTTCTTGAAATCAATGGTTCAAGTCCTTCTCTTACTTCCAAAAAAAAAAAAAAAAAACCTTCAAAACGTATAACCTCACCTTCAAAAATTATAATAATATTTTATTTTTGGGATACGGAAAATTACCTCAGTAATTGAACCCATTTTTCGAAGTCAAACTAGTGTAGCTGTCCTGAACCGACCGGCTGACTTGTGAAATTTGGACCGTACCCCAAACACTTGTTGTGAGAACACATAAAATAAGGTGTCCGGAATGATTGGAACGCCAAACACACCCTCCACGTTCCCAATAAAACAAACAAAGCTCAGTCAGACTCACCCAGTCAGTTCACCGAGTCACACTCACTACTCGTTACTTAACACTTGTAAAGTGCACGTGCCTTTGACCCCCTCTTACGACTTTAAGAAGCTTCCAAAGCCCCCCACGCCCTTCCAGCCCTAATCTCTCTCTCTCTCCTCAATAAAATAGCTCGATCACACTCTGTGATCGAAGACTTTCACTCGAAAAACACTGTAGCACAAGTCAATTCGATCAAGTGTTTCACTGAATCAGGTTAGTTTAAGTTCTACTTTTAGTCTCCATTTCAATGCTGAATTTGCGTTATTGGGTTTTTGTTTTCTGATTTAGTTCTACTAAAAGGGTTTTGAGTGAAGTTTGAATTTTCACTCCATAGTTGATAAAGTTTGCTTCTTGGTGTTGTTATTGAGTTCTTTTACTACTTCGTTGGGAAATCATATTCGGCAAGTGGTAATTTCGGGTATAGGGGTATAAATTGTTCTGCTTGAATTGTAGTGTCTGATTGATGCAGTAGAATGATTAGATTGTATAATGAAGGGATGATAATGCTTGTGTGCTTCATTGTTTAATAAGTTTTTTGCTCATTATATTGCAGAATTTGGTAATCCAGTTTGTATCAGCGAGTATTGTTGATTTTGATCACCGAGAGTGACTTGTCGATAGAAGCAAACGGAAGCTAGGGTTTTGGATTCTTGGATTCGGGAGTGGGTCTGAATTGTTTGGAGTTCACAGGGTTTCTTGTTGCTGGTTGATAATTTGTATATTTGGGCTAGTAATAAATTCGGGAATCAAAATGCCGGCAGGACGGCATTGTCCCCGAATAGACACTCTTGAGCTGAAACTCCAAATTGAAAAGAAGCTTGGTCGACAAAAAGCTGAGAAATACTTCAATCTACTTAACAGATATTTGAGTCTTAAGCTTTGCAAATCGGAATTTGATAAGCTCTGCATTGGTTTAGTGGGGAGAGAGAATATCCATCTTCATAATGGACTCGTCCGAGCTATAATCAAGAATGCCTCTCTTGCCAAGATTCCCCCTCCAAAACAGAGGACAATGGAAGCTTCATTGAATGGTAAAGTGTCGAATGGATGTCAAATAAGTAGTCTTCAATCACTCTGTCGGGACGTTTTTCCTCAGTCCCCCAGAAAGGGAAGGACTCCTAATCTTCGAGAACGGAAGTTTAGAGACCGACCAAGTCCTCTTGGGCCTCATGGGAAGGCCCAGAGTGTTGCGGGCAAAGATTTGGTACCTACAGTTCAAGTGCAGCAAAGTGCCACCGAGCTGCTTTCTTTAGAAAGCAGGCCCCCAGTTGAAGTTAACTCTGTGGAAGAGGGTGAAGAGGTTGAACAAGGTTCTGGAAGCTCCAGCATTTACAATAGAAGTCCTGTCACAGCTCCTCTTGGCATCCCCATACATGCAAAGGGAACACGGAAAGTAGTACGTAATGGATCAGCTCTTTCATTTTACGCTGAGACTTGTCAGAACAGCTGTGAGCTGCCTGATGCCAGTTCTTTAAAGAAACGATTGGAACAGAAGTTGGAGATGGAGGGCTTGGAAATCTCAATGGATTGTGTTAACCTGTTGAACAGTGGGTTGGATGTATTTATGAAAAGATTGATAAAGCCCTGTTTGGAACTAGCCAGTTCCAGGTCTGAACAGAAGCATCTAAACCAATTTTGTAATCAGGCTGCATCTGGCTTTGATGGTATTAGGCCCATGAAATATGTACAAAAGCAAAGCAGATCCTTTTCTGCATCAATGTTGGATTTTCGGGTTGCGATGGAGTCAAATCCCAGAATACTTGGAGAAGATTGGTCAGTACAGCTTGAGAAAGTGTCCTTGCGTGCATCAGAAGAACCTATAAGAATTGATTAGCATATAATGTGGATCCGACCTTGGCTTGAAGTCATCTCAAAGAGATGATGTGTTATTATGCCTCTAGAATACATTCTAACAGTGAATTTGACACAATCTATGTGAGTAATGCTGAAGTATCTACGTGGTTAGAAGCTCCAGGAAAATTTTGGATCCAGGTGATGTGGTTGTATATAATAGTTGTCAGTGCAGATTTTCCCTGAAATGGGACTAATTACGTGGTAAAGTATAGAGATATGGACACTAGTAAGAATCCAGACATTACAACTAGTTTAGTTGCCTTGTTCAACCAATATCTATAGTTTGTTCATTTTATTGAATCTTTGTCTGTTAATAAAGTTTATATGGAGTTGCCAGGCTTATATATGTCGACTTTTTGTTTATTTTATTTTATTTCCTTTACCTCTCCCCCTGGTGGGGTTCAATAACCCAATCTGTTTAGATGCTTGAATAGTATAGGTTGCCATGTCATGTTAAATAAACTGTGTAAAACAACAAAAGCAAGTAAATTTTGACATGTTTTTAGTATGCTTTTCCTTTTCTTTTCTTACCTCTTTCAGTCTCCCCTTTGGTTTTCCCCATTGTTTGAGATCCTTATTTGGCTCAGGCTCTAAGCCGTTCAGGCACAACCATTGTAATGTTTTTTGGAGTTTAAATGACATTAGGTTTAGGGGCAGAGCCGAAATTCCGTATAGGGTAGGCACTTAGTATCTTTAAATTTTTGTTCTCCCTAAAAATAAAATAATATATTTAAATTTACTACATTGTATTTGATATTTAAATATTCATAAAATAAAAAAGGTTCAAATGTCGATAAATATAGCATATACAAATAAAAAACCAAAAAAAAAAGAAGCCAATTACAACCCTTCACAACAAATGTGTCTAACTACATAAAAAATACTATAGGCTTTCTCTATGTAACCAATCAAACTATGAGTCATTGAGCACTCCTTTAGTTATGCAACCTAGTTTTTATAATCTCTATAGCTTAAAAAATGAGTCAGATATGCTAAAAATTTATCAAAATGTATCCATAAAGTGTTCAAAGTGCGTCAAAAATTCATAATTTTTTTAGTTAAATGACTTTACTAATTGATAGAACAAAAAACGATAGAATGGACACACTTAAATATTCTTACAATTATTTGAAAAATTTCGGGGTGGGCCGTGCTCCCCCGGTCCTCGTGTGGCTCCATCCATTTGAAATATAAATAAGTAATATTTTTTCAAAAGAATTTCAGGGTGGGCCGTGCTCCCTTGCTCCTCACGTGGCTCCGCCCATTTTAGGTTGCTAGTTAGTCAGTTGTATATTCATGTTGTGGATAGTTTTAATTGTTTTGGCCTTGTTGGTATAAATTCTTTCAGATGGAATATAACGTGGGCAGTCTAACTAATGCCATTACTTGATACTTGATAGTTGTTTCTGCTCTGGGGAACTTCTTGAAATTCAAAGTAATGTTACACAAGTCCCAACAGAAAATAAACTATAAGGGACAGAAATTAGACTATCATTATCACTGTACGTTCAAAACCTAATAGAATTTAAAAGAGCATAAAGGCTCACCTTTTTGTCAGGATTAGTTTCAAAATGTTTTTATCATTTGCTCTGGCCACAATTTCTGAATTTCCTTTTCAGAATTTTGTCCCCTTCCCAAAAAAAAAAAAAAGCAACAAAAACCGGCAGGACCTGAGGTGAAGACCCTTCTCTATTTTCACCTCAGGAATTGTGGTACAAGTCACATTAGTCTCAAGTTGTTGTATTCAACAAGCTTGTTGTGTAGCAAGGATATATTCTTACGGATGTTTGCAATCACACGGCTATGAAATCTTTTTATTCTTACGAAGCACACAGGGCAGGGAACAACATTTTACAATAAACCCTAATCATCTGTTGAGGAATTCAAAAGAAAAAAGTATCCTTTCCTTCTTTGTTTCTTATATGTTCATTGTGGACTTTGTTGGGCCACTAGTGGATGAACACTCGCTACTTTTCGCTTGTTTGCGTTTTGTTTTCCTTCTATTCTTTGTGTTTTTTTTATGCTGGTGGGGGGTTGGTGGCTGAGTTGGATGCACAATTTACAGTTTCATATTCATGTTTCACTTATTTTTGCACAGTAGTGTTTAAATTTTTTTTGCTGGTGACAAAGAGATCTTTACTGTTTTCTGCTTTTTATCATGGCATACTAAATTATAAGTTTTGATAGTTTGTCTACGGGATGTGTGAAAATTTATTACAATTGGATGCATTATTTCTTTTTATCTTAATATCTGAATGCTAAGTAAATCATTTTGGATATCTGGTCATCTGATAAAGTATTTTCACTATGCTTTCTTTACTGAATGCTTATGAAGTTATTAAATGAAAATGCATTTGTTGGTACCAAATAAATAAGCTTGTTTTTTCTTCCCCTTTTCAGGGCAAGGGAACGCAAAAAAGAACATTTTTTTAAGCAATTATGTAGTGTGGGTGTTCACCATCCCATGTTCTTAACTGTCAAGATGCTTTGGCTTCACCTTAATCATGCTTTGGCATTCTGCCTCATCACCTTGAACCGGAATAAATATTGAGACCAATTCTTGTCCAGCACTTACTTCACCTTTAGCTTGCTCATTTGGTCTTAACGGGGTAGTGATGCGTCTGGAGGAACCAACCAGATCTGAATTTCAAGCACTAAAATCAAGGCATTAAGTTTTACTTTTTAACAACAATCAGCTTGTCCATTCTTCTTAATCATTTTCTCTTGTCTCTGGAGATGCAAAACAGTCTTAACATTTTGTATTCTTTAGTGTTGCTTTCAATCTTACCCTTCTTGTTGAACTGAAAGAGGAACCATTTAATCAAATTGCTTCAACATATCTGGGCATATACTTTGTGAGTCTTGATATTGAGCTAGTAATTCTCAGTCATTTCACCAATTTGATAGCACAGTGCCTCCTCCTCTTACAAGAAACAACCAGGTGATAGTCTGACCTGGGTGCTCTTCAGAACTACTCATTCTATATGCCATTTCATGATGGGTTTAGGTTTGGGGGAAAATATTTCATGCGCAAATTGTTGGAGGCTGCCTGGAAATGATTAGTTTTTCCATTTTCTTATTTTTTACAATGTGCCATTAGAAAGCTATATGTGTACCCAGAGCTGAGGTCAATGCATTTGTGAAAAGGAGGTGAAATTAACTTGTTTTTTCCCTCCCTGTTTGCTTATGTGATTGTTCTCTGTTTTTGTGTGTGTGCGCATTACTTTGTCAAAAAAAGATAAAAGATTGACGGGCAATTATGATGATGACAATTAAATCATATCATGACCTACTCTTATGGGCGAGATGCCATTACATTGTTAGGTTTACCAGTTAATTTTATATTTCCTTCTAAAATCTTATTGAGTGCATTTCATTTGCTTCTTTCTATTTGTTATTTGAAAACACATCTTGTCTAAGTTTTGGTACCTTGTAAATTGTTAGTAGTAGCATGGAGCCACATATTTGAAGGTCCAAGGGCATTTGGTTTTGCAGTGGAATCTGTTTGAGTAGCATCATCAACTTTGGTTTTGCAGTGGGATCTGCTTGAGTGGTATCATCACCTTCAGGGACCTCGTTTCAGATTGAAGCTGCTCAATCTTTTGAATCAAAAGGCAGGCAAAGGGCTAGCACTTAGATCGGAGAACCAATAGGAGACTAGTAAGCTGCTCTTTCTAAATTAAATGTGCTTCCTAACTATTTAATTATAATATCTAGTATTCTAAATTGCCTGGAATAAATCAGATTTATTTTCTATCAAAAGTATATTGTGAAATCTACTTTCAAAGAGCAGCTTGCATCTTCCAATTGATAAAAGCACACATGGGAAAAAAAAAAAAGCACCCAATCGATACTTTGAATTCTTGCGCTGTTTCTCTCATGCACTTTTATGCATGATCCTTACCTTGACATGTGAAATTTTACGTCAATGGCCACCTGAATATTGGATTTTGTATATTAGTCTCAGATATACTTCATACTGAGAGTCCTGTTAGGGACAGGATTTTGATCCCCAAAGAGAGAGCAATAACGGGCTTTTGTTTTGTACGTGGCTCCATAGGTGGCAGTGATACCCTGTTCATATGTGCACAGCACCTGCCTACAGGTTCATATTTCTAAAGCTTTTCTATTTTAGTGTGTGTGTGTGTCTGAGAGAGAGAGATTTTTTACCAGCATTCACGAATGTGTTGGAATTGGAATTCTTCTTCTTCGTTTTTTTTTTTTTGGCGGGGGGGGGGGGGGGGG